TAAACGGAGTAGCATTTTGCATTTTCTTTTTCTTTTTTTACATCCTATTAAAAAATTATAAATTTTTATCTAAAATATTTTCTTGATGATAAAAAAAAAATATTTTTTATTTTTAATTTTATTGCAAAATTTGAAGTTTAAAAATATGTCTAAAATTAGTTTCTAGAAATTAAATTTTGAAAGCTTTTACAGAAAAGTGTTTTCAAACACTTAAATAAGGAAACATACGTAAAAAATATTAATTTTGAAAAGTATATCCTAATTGTTAATAATTATGGAAATTAATTTTTGAACGTATAAAAAACTAATTTTAGAAGCTAATGTTTAGAAGTGTAAAATCTTAATTCTCGAATCTTCTTTCAAAAATCGTAAAATTTTATTTCTGAAAACGTATTTCTAAAAAATAGTTAATAATTTCATAAATTAATTTTCTAAAATATGAAAACTTAAATTTTGGGTTAATTAAATTTTAAAGACTTAATTTTAGAATTGGAGAATAATAATTTGAAAACTTATTTTTTAAAATAATTATTAATTCCATAAATTAAATTTTGGAAGTGTAAAATATATATTTTAAAATTAATTTAATTTTACAAATTTATTTTCAAAAGTATAGAATCCTGATTTTAAAAACTCATTTCTAAAAAATATTAATAATTTCAAAAATTAATTTTTAAGTCATAGGATCCTAAATTTAAAAACATATTTTCAAAATAGTGTTGAAGTTAATAGCTTAAGGAAACCGACAAAGAAAAAGTCATTTTTAACACTAAACCAATGTTTTGTAGTGTATTCAATACAGTTGACTGGAAGAAGAATAACGATACTTAAAATGCACTTGCATAAGGTAGTGATTTAAGAACATTGAAACTTAGAAGAATAGAGAGGAAGAACAAAATACAACAACTTAGAAGAGTAGAGAGAAAGAATAAAATATAATAACGACAAAGAGTGAAAATAGAAAAATTATTTTAAGAATTAAAAAATATATGTATAAGTTGTTTAGTTATAGAAAATATAATTTTTACCTTTTATTTAATAATTTAAATATTTTTAGTGATGTTTTATGAAAACAATTATAAAAAAAAAAATTTATTGTGATATAAAAAAGAGTCGCAAAAACAATCCAAAAATCACAAAAAAATATATGAAGAAATAGATTCTATAAAAGGAATTTTTACCCTCCGTTCTTTACGTAAACAATTTGTTACCTTAATACGATCTCCAATTTCTTTTAGGCCCAAAACTAATAGAAATAACATTCGTAATAAAATAAATAAATACATTAAGAATTAAATATCTTTTAATTTTACTTTCTTGTTGTGATTATATTTTTTTTATTAATTTATTTATCGGTCGTAAAATTTTACATTTTAAAAAATGATAATAAAAATAAAATTAAAAAGATAATAATAATAAATATTTTTATCTATTATTGGTAATATTTTATTATTATTTTTGTTATAATTATTAATACTATTAATATTAATTTTATATATCAATATCATTTTATTTAAATTTTTAATATTGTATTTTTAATTCATAAAGGTTAACTATTCTTTAATAATAATAAAAAAAATAAAAATAAGACCAATATAACTACTGTCTGCCATGCTTACACGTAACTTTAAGTTATAAATTTCTAACATTTATATGTATTTAATTTATTTTAAATATTATGTAATATAAATTTATTTTAAAATTAAATTTTATTTTAATTCTAATTAATTAAATAATTATTTTATTAATTAATAAAAATATATATTTTAAATTAAATCTTCTTTTTAATTGATTAAACAATTAGTTTATTAATTAAATTCAAATCAATTTTACTTTATTGATATATCAATTTATATATTAATATATAATATTTTTACCTTCCTACGTTATAAATTATTAAAATTTATAAATAATTATATTTCTTAAGTTGTGTACAACTAAGAATTATTAAAGAAAATTAAATTATATTTTTTAGTTAATTAATTAAATAATTAAGTTTTTAACTACTTAATATTATTTCATATTTGAGATTATATTTTTTGTTTATTTAATTAAATAACAAAGCCTTTAATCACTTAATATTATTTCTCATTTTTGTGCAATGTTTTAGAATATTGTTTTGTGATTTATATTACCTTCCATTATTGTTGTATAAATTGTATGTGTTATTTATAACTTTACACTATCTTAAATCATCCTGTGAAATCTAAAGTTTTTAATTGAAATACTTAAACAATTTTTATAAATTAAATTAGTCTTCTAGTTATTATTTTTCTTTAAGTCCTCACATTTATTTACAAAATAGATGATAATTTTTCTTTATCTTTTAAGATTATTTATCATAATATATATATATATATATATATATATTCATATTATCTTGTATCATATGTATAATACATTATAAAATTATTTAAAATAAATATTATTGTAAATAAATTCGTTTTCAATTTTAGTAAATAGAATTACATAGGTTTAATTTTATTATTGCACCTGAGAGTATGGAAGATCAAAAACTGAAATCAATTAAGCAAAAATGACTTTTCTTCTAAAATATCGATTAAAATTTTTAATAAATAAATTATATTCTTCTTTAAGAATAAAATAATAGAAATCATAGTATTGAAATTAAATAGTTATTTTTAAAATTATAATAAATTTTCTCAATTAATTTGAAATACTTAACTGAACAATAATTCTAAAAATTATATTTAATTTTAAAAATCATACTACTTTTAAAAGTTTTTTCATGCGTTTTTTTAAAACTTTGGCGACAACTTCTTATATTTTAAAAAAAAAAATCGATAAAACTCACTCATCATCCCATCACAAACCCTCAAATGCAACATAATTATATTATTATAAAAAAATTGGTAGAAGGCATGTTAATTATATAAATATTATGATTTTTTTCTTTTCTGTTAGGAAACTTGCAAGTTATCTTATATAAATTTTAAATGGTTCCTTCTCTAAAGCAGGAAGTTTAAAAAGAGAATTAAGGGGGTGTTTCTAAATAATGAGTGGAGATTCATTTTTTAAAACAATTCTCTAATTCATATTCCCATCCATAACCATAAGTCAAACTATAATGCTTTATGATTTAAATAAACAATCTTTGCTTATTGGCTCATTAGTGATGATTGAATTGATAATTTAGATATAAAATGATAGTTTTTGCAACAAAGTAATTTTAGTAATTTTTTAATCACATAAAAAGAATTTTAAATGGGGTTGAGAGAATTAATAGAAAGTTAGCTATTTGATTAATTTAATTAAAAGGATTTGGCAGGATTATCAAAAAAATTTAAAAGAAAAAGATACTTATTAGTTTTATTTTGCTAAATTAAAATAGATTTATCTAGGTGATAGAAATAATAATTTTTTTCACCAACCAGCTAGGATTTAGAGGCAGAGAGATGAAATTGGAAGCATTGAGGGACTGTGATAAAAAGTAGAATTTTTTTACATCTCTAAATATTGTTTTTTAATATTTAAAAACTCTATTTTTAGAGTATGTGATAAATATTTCTTTAGATTTATCTATTTCTTTCCCTAATATTCTTAATATTGAGTTGAAAAATGTTAACAGAGAGATCTCTTTGTATGAGATCAAAGCTCTCTAATGTTTAAGTATCGATAAAGTATATTGGTAATATAATTATTCTTTAAAAAAAATTTAAATTGAATTTAGAAAAACTTATAAGAGAATCAATTAGAATTTTATGAATGATTCGTTCTTACAAGTTAGATTTGGACATCTTTTTCTAATTTGATCTCTTCTAATATTTCTTTTTCATCAATGTGTACTAACTAAAGAATAATTTATGAATCATTTTTTTACTTCTAAGGATAATCTTTGTACATTTATATTTTTATTATTTGTATTGATAAACTAGCTTATTATATTCAATACAAGATTAATTTGGGTAAGTGGAATCCATTCTATTTTAAAAAAAGGAGTCCGAAAATTATAATTATTGACTAATTTTTATTATTGAAGTTTCTTTACCCATATTTCAATTGCTTAAAAATTAATAAGAACAAATTTTCATTTACTTTTCTAGAAGTCTTAATTTTAAAAAAATATTGAATTTTAAGTAAGGAAATTGGTATGAATTGCTCATATAACATTGTTTCTTACTTGGATTCTCTTAATTTTTGCTTTAAGTCTTATTAATAAAATTAAGGAAAAATGTCTAACTTGAAAGTAAATTTTTTTCTTTTATGGATAAAGTTACTATGATTCAATCTTGAATTATAAGTATTTCTAATTATATAATAATAGTTTACTTTATTCTTATTAGATTTAGAAAGATATTACTATAATTTGTAAGAATTTCATTTGAGAGTCTTATATGAGTAAAAAAAAATTGTCATTTAATTTCTTATCTCTTAAGATAAGATTTGATCTATTATAAAAGATGGAGATTAAGTTTTATGAACCTTCAAAAAATTATATAAAAAATATGATTTTTATTTATTTAAATTTAACATAAAAATTTCACTTTTTGAGTCCATTTCATTTATATGTGTATTAAGAATTAAAATTTTACTTTTTAAATAGACATCTAGAAACATATATTATATATATTTATTAAATTATTTACTTTTTAGATACATTATATTTCCTTTATAATTATTTTTTATTATCAAAATTTTTTCTTACTATTTTTAATCTATATAATGATAAATTTTATTTATATAAACCACATTTTTATTATATTTTTACAATCGATAAATATTATCCACAAAACACACACACACATATATTTCCTTTGTAATTATTTTCTTTAATTCTAAATTATGTTTTTTACTTTATATTTTAATCTACATTTTGATGAATACTTATCATCATGTCAAATTTTACATACTCCTGAGTGCACGAGCTGATAAACTAATTATAAAAAAAAATCAACAAATACATTTGCATGTAAATTGAACACATTTTTTCAAGTTATAGAAATATTTTATATAAACTCCATTTCTGAATTGTAATTAACATACAGAGTATATTGTTGCTAGTCCCAATGAACATGCCACAGTGAAATCCCTAGGCAAGAGAAGTGAGATGTTGCGGCTGTGCCTGTGACCGTTGGCTTTCTAACTCTCAAATCGAAACCAACAACACCATCCTCTACCTCCAATCTTCAAACTCCCAAGTCCAATCCTTTTTGCATCCATGAATTCTTCTGGCTACGAATACGATCAACCCCAACCCTCTTCGGTTTACCCTCCTCGCCTCCCAATCGCCCCTGAACCGCCTAATTCTGCTCAACCCTCACAAACCCACAAGCTCAACCCGGTTCAGGGACCGCCAGTTCCCGGTTCCGTTAAACCTGCGGCAGCGGCAGCGGTAGCAGGAGCTCTCCCTCAGCTTGTAGGGAGCGTTGACGGAGTCCGGAGAGAACCGGTAAAAGTGAATCAGATGATTTTTAAGTCTCTAAATTTTTGTTTTTTTCCTTCGTTTGGAAAAAATTATATTGGCTAATTCTTAGAGTATGTGAAGGAACCCTGTTCGATATTGTGTCACCGTAAGTTGGATGGCATTGAAGTAAGTTAAATGGTAGTCTTCGAGGGTTGAAATGTGCGAGTAACAATAGTTGAATATGTGATCAATATTGTATCCACTTTTGGGCTCAATCTTGGAATAGCCATTTTTTCAAATGATATCTTGTGGTATAAATTTTCTGTTCTTTCCTGCCATAAACATAACCTAATATTCATTGTTCTGTCTCCTTGTAGTAGAATTGTATCTCATATCCGTTAAATTAGTGGCGTTTATATGAAAAGCAACATATTGGGGAATGTAATGATTCCTGGTCATAAGTGATATCTCCCTTCAATTTTCACCTGAGTCTAAACTCTATGCAGCTATATATTGACTGATATAGTTATTTGCTTCCTTTTGGCCTTTTTAAAGCTTCTTCTTGAATTATCTTGTAGTTTCACATAAGTTCTTCTGTATTTGCATTGCATAAGATTAAACTTTATTTTCAATGTCTATGTTCTAGATTCTAGATAAATAGTAATGTTGTTTGAAAGAGACAACGAGTTATTCGTTTTTCTTGCTTTATCTCTCTCTCTCTCTCCTATTTATTAATTTCCTTATTAATCAAACCCTTATGAGCAGAGTATACCATAATAGTTTTATTTTTCTTCACCATTCATGTAAGATTTAATGGTCAAGACTTGTTTCTCTTCTAACAGTAAGATAGTTCTTTTAGTTTATGTACTCCAACACTAACACATGGGAGAGTGGGGGAAGAAAAGACATAGCAGCCTTTTTTAATTATATACTTGTGGGATTAAAGGAGTTTATGGGAAGGAAGTCTCCTATAGATTTTTATCATAGATGTTGCAAATAAAGACTTTGGCTAGAAATGGTTGGCATCCAGTATATATGCTCTACCTGCGCTATTTATTACTGTTGCAAGATCAATGAAAAAGGTGAATTGTATTCTATCCAAATCAGCCATGGCTTTTCAGTAAGTTGTGGGAAGTTCCATAGTTTATCTTAAACAATGGCTTGATATAGTTTTAGTCAAGCAAACCATTCTTCAATGTATTTTTGTATTCCTTCTTCATTTGGTTCAGCATAGTTGCTGCTACAGGGAATATCTTGTGCTTTTTAACTTGTTTTTCTTATGACATTTTTTATGCTTTTAGAGATCCTATTCAATACTTGATAGGCATTAAATCAGCTTTCATCTAAAACTTTCACAAGATAGAGTTCTGTGAACTTGGTTGCAGCTCCCTAGAGTGACCAGATAAGGACAATATGTGCATTGTATGAGCTAATAAGTAATTGGGTACCTTTGATGCCATATGCTGCATGGTGGTGGTTCTTTTCTGGTTGCTTTGGAACCAATGTGAGCATTAGGTCATACTTTGCCATTGTTCTCTTCAAAAATAATTGATATGCTCTTTAAATCCATTAACGTTTCTGCATTGTTGGTTCAGTTTTTTGTGTTTGAATGTGACTTGTAAATCTGTTCATGTTGAGCCACTTCTTTTCTAGTTTCTCTAAACTGTCTGGCCGTCTGGCCTGTATAATTAGTTGTTCTGTCACTTCTGTGCCTCAATGTTATGGGAAAGAAAACTTTTCTTTCACTGCTAAGCTTTTTATATACTATTTTTTATTTCATTTCTTTATGCCTTTGTCAGAGGGCTTTTTGTGATGAATTTCAGACTTAGGAATGCATCTCATATTTTTGGGACCTTATGTTGAGCAGTTGTTGAGGATTGTTTGATCAACTGTATCTTTATCTTGAGGCTGATAATATTACCAATGGGGATGGATGTGAATGACTGATGATTAGAAAATTTTGAAGACCTGATCTTTTAGCTCGGATACTATCTTAAAATAATGAAGGAAATCCTTGTTTATCACATGCCTACCAACAAGCAACAGCCTAATTTCCATAAAAGAAAATTTGAATAATTCTACAAGTTCAGGGCTCTTCTTGCATGCATATTTGTTAGTTTCTATATTCTCCTTAAAACAATGTCGATTTATTAGCGAAATCAAATAGACTGGGTGAATTACAGGAATATAAGTTCAATTCATTAATGAATCCTGGAACCAATTGTTGGTAGTAGTCTGCTTTTTTTGAATTTTGGAATGAGCAAACATAAGTGAATTAAAGCATTTCAAAGACATAAAATGTTATAATATGGAGCATTATTCATACTAATTTGGTAGAATTACTGAAAGTTCTCATTCTGGTAAATGTTTTCTTTTACTTTGTCAGTTCTCTTTCCCAATTGACCTTCCCTTATGATTATGGTGCCATTTATGTAGACATTTTTTAATCTTTTCCACCTCAGTCTTGCATTTGTTTTGTAACTGAAATCTGCAACCATATTAATGTATACGGGAGTTCATAGTTGAATACTTATCTGCAGATTGGGCTATCTCAATACAGAGGTAGAGGTCGCAGGGGTGGTCGACAATTTAGAGGTGTTGGGCGTGGCCGAGTGAATCACCCCCATGGTAGGGGACTGAATCACCCCCGTGGTAGGGGACGTGGTAGGGGTGGTAATGGTAGACAGTTCCCATCTCATTCTTCTGAACCCTCCATTTCTAATAAAGCTGACACAGCTGGTGCTGCTGGAGCCACTTCGGTGGTGCAACCATCATCAGTCCCCCGGAAGTCACCATTAACTAATCCAGCACAAATTCCTACTGCATCATTGCAGGTCCCACCATGTAAGTTGTGGTGTGAAATTTGTAAGGCAGAGTGTAATACTCCAGAAATGTTGGAGCAGCATAAGAATGGAAAGCGGCATCGGAAGAATTTGCTAGTGCATGAAGAATTGCAAAGACTCAGAGCTATAAATGGACAACAGGGTGAAAGTATTTCTAATTCTCGATCAAATTTAACAATCCAGCCTGAGAAAGTTCACAATGCTGAAGCTACAGCTGATAATCACAAGGCTGAAACTGAGGTTTGGAATAATGTGGGAGGAAAATCTGATGTTCAATCTGAAGAGCTTCAGGAGGAACCTGGAGAAAAAGCTGTTGTACTGGGACATGGTTTCAAGCGTAAGATGAGAGGAGAGAGGGGAGGTAAATACATGAGGAGTAATGATGGGTCAAGAAAACCAAGGGAACTTCCAAAACCTAGGCAGGTTACATCTTTCATATGTGAGTTGTGCAATGTTAAATGTGAGTCCCAGGTTGTCTACAATAGTCATTTGACTGGGAAGAAGCACTTATCAAATTTCAAGCGTGTCCATGGACACCAAACTTTGAATGGAGAAGCAGGGATCCAACCACCTCAGCCATCTGACATCAATGCTCTGACAAATTCAAATAATTTTCCAGTACAGCAAGGTATTGGTGATCCACAGGTCCTTTTGGCTCAGCTCCTGATGACTGTGCTATCAAGAGTCCCAGTACTAGCAACAGCACCACCAGCAGGTCCGGTGGCTGCTCAGTTACAAGTGCCCCCTTCAGTGGCTGGATCAAGCCATGAACCCCTTTCTCAAAATTTAACTCAGACACAAGTCTCAGATTCATTACCACATTTTGAGAGTGAGAATCCTACAGGGGAAACAAAAAATCAGATGTCATCTAGCTCACTGTAATAAGTGCAACATTAAAACTGCAGATGGAGGATCGTCAACTGAAGAAACTGTGCCAAAACTTTCCCAGCATAGTTCTGTTATGACCCCAGCAAAAAACCTGGTTGCCGCTGCAAATACCCAAGTACCTACATATCATGAAGCTCCAACATCATAGACATTTAGCAGGGCCAGAGAAGATCCAATCATTTTTTGTTTCTCTTCCAGTCCAGGATTTCATTTTGCAATACTTTCATGTGCTTTTATTAAATATTTTAACGCATTTTGAACTGACACAGATAGAGTTCCCATGCCTAGGCACCGCAACATGACCATTATACAGATGTCTTAAAACATTATCCCTAATCTTTGCCGGAAATGCTTTATGAATTGCTGTTGAGGATGTTGGGTATACTTGCCAGAAATCCATTCCTGTGCTGCAACTCTTTCAACGCGCTTAGTGACTGTTGTACATGTATACCTAGCTGAAGTAGCGGCAAGTCGGCAACACTATTAATGTTCCAAAGTGGCCGGACAAGAGTTTGCTAAAGCGGCAGTATATTAACCTTTCAAATCTCTTTTACAATATTAGTTTCTAAGAAGTATAAAATTATCACTAAATTCAAATAAAAAAATAATGATAATTCTACATATTTAAAAGATTAATTTAATTAAAAAAAATATGTAAAGGGTTAATACTATTTTTGAAGAAAAGTTTAGAAATCAAAACCTTTTAAGAAATAAATTGAGAATTTATTATTTTTAATTATGAAATTTTTTTCTTAAAACGTCGATTTTAACTTTTAACAATACACAATGATTAAATATGCCTTAAGTCACTCTTATGCTTCTAACTCAAAGACCAAGTCAAAGACCAAATTAAGCTTAAGCGTGTGTCCATTAGTAAATTCTGAAATCTAGGAAAAGGCCCATAAATCACCTTTTCCATCTTCAACCAACGAATCGTTTGTAGTTTTGATCTTTAGATAAAACACTTCATATTTTTAAAATGTAGTATCAAATCATGGGCAGTGAAGGGAGTCAAGATCAGCGTGAAGTTTTTGAAGAAATTTAATCATGTTCAAGAGAGACGCTGCCGGGATGGAGGGACATAGTTCTTGTCATACAAGTGATTTGAAGAAAATGTTGTGTCTGATATAAAAGCCCTTACAACCTGACTGAATGGGTTGCTAAACTGATGTTTTTGGGATGAAAATTAATGAAAAGAATTTGTAAGTTTATGAAGTACGAAAGGGAAGAAAGATTTGAGTAAACATATAAGTAAGGAATTTTATTGAGTTTCTATGCTTGTAAGCTTGATGCCGCATCCCATTTTTATAGTCATTCATGCAAATGCAAACAAAAGTTATATTTATTATATACATAAAAAGTAAGAAAACTTTTGTCAAATAAGAGCAACAAATTTCAAGCTTTAGCTAAAAATGCTATTCTAAGAGGAGAGCATACATTTCTTCTTATATAGTTAATACATCCATTTTGTTGCATATTATTGGAATTAGTGCATTGATCTTTGCAAAAAACTTGGTGACTCTAGTTGGGGAGTTCCAAGCCATAAGTCATTATGATGAATGGTTTTGATTATGTCATATCTTTTGGGAACACACAATCTTTAATTACAGGGCATTTGTAATCGATTATAAGAGAGATTGCAAAATTAAGATCCTTTTTGGACTCAATGTAATCAATTACACATTTATGTAATCAATTATTGTGCATGTTTAAGTGATAGAAGTGGACTTCTCTCTCTTTCCACTGGTGAATTTTCTCTTTCCTCTTAACGTCTCTCTCTTTGATTTCTCTCCTGTTTCTCAACCAAATTTAGTCAAAAACAACTTCTAAATTTGTCATCTTTGCTTCCTCTACAAATCTAACTGAATAGTTTTCACCAACAGTCCTCTTAAATGGCTAAATCATCTAGGGTAGTCTCAAAGAGAAAAAAAAAAAAAAAAACAGTCACCACTGTCGTTGTTGCTACCTCTACTATCACTTTCAAGTTGCGGCTCCAACCCCTTCTTTCTCATTTTTAAGCATCTCTACATATTTCTCTAATTTGGCTCAATAAGAGAGGTATTTTGAACCCTTTTAGTCTAGAGATACCTTGGATCCTAAATATTTAGATGAAAGGTTTTTTAAGTTCAAAATATTGACTACTATCAAGTTTTCACAATTAGGATCTGTTGAAATTCATGACCATAAAAAAACATCATTTTCCAAATTTGATTAGCTTATTCTACTGTACTTTAGAAATTCGTGATGGGTCCATTTATTCTAAGGTCAAGAAGGTTCCAATTGTTATTGATTAGGGTCTAGTTTATAATATGACTAGATTGAGTTCTGATGGGGAATCCTTTGAGGGTTTTATTGTTGATGATTGAAAATTGGATTACTCTAGTTTTGATGCACGCAAGATGATTTGTGTTGAAGGGGCTGATATTTTTGGTCATTTACTTGCAGGATCCATTAAATTTGATTGTCATGTGATGCATTATATATGTCACATTTTGCATCCTCAGCTTACCAATCTTGCACAACCAACTGATAAAGATATTATTTTGATGTGGGCTTTGTTAATTGGTTGCCAAATCAACTAGGCTCATCTTGTGCGATATCGTATGCAAAAAGCCCTCAAGGCAAATGCGTCACTCCCATATGGTCACTAGATTACTATGATATTGGGGTACTTTGATGTTTTGTTATTTGATGAGCATTTTGTCAACGTTCAACATCTTATGCTATTGGTTCTAGTGCAATTTCTTCCTTCAATTATAAAAAGAATCATCTTAATCAATGGATTTACAAGAAGGATTTTCAATATGATGGTCAAGTGGAATGCACTTGATCCCCTTTGTGTATTTTCGCTTTGGATCCATTCTCTTCCTCCATTTCTGAATTTCTCTAAGTTGCTTGCCTTTTGTGTTTATGTTGAAGAGCAGTTCAACTTTCTTGGTTCTCACATGGATTAGTTTGAGGGTGATATGTGATTGATTCGTCATCACCATGGTATTCATGATGATTCTTTCACTAGTGATAAACCATAGCCTTCTACTTTTATTTAGTTTCTTGCTCTCATTCTCACTTTAATTATTTTGTATGTGTCTTGTATTTGGATTTTGTTTCAATTATATTTTTGATTGATTATTAGTTATGAGCTATAGTTGAGCTTATAACTTTAGATTTATGCTTGCATGTGGAATGAAAGACTGGATTTTTAACAAGATATATAACACTCTGACTATCACTAAATAATGGAGAATCATTCTATTCTTTTCCTAATTCTTGGAGAAAATTCTTTGGCCATAACATCTATTTGGCTGCTTTTAAGATAGCCACATACTCGGCTTCAATGATTGAGAGAGCAACTCTACTTTGAAGTTTAGACTTCTAACTTATAATAGTACCACCCAAGGAAAAAATGTAATATGTGCTTTTTCTACCATCTAAATCTCATCCCGAATCTGTATATGAGAATCCTATAAAGTGAGATTGCTTTTGCCAAAATACAAATACATTTATGAAGTGTCCTTCAAATATCTCAGTATTCACTTTATACCTTTCCAATGCTTCTTTCCAGAATTTGATAAGAACCTATTAATAACTCATCTTGCACATGCTATGTTAGATTTGGTACACACCATAGCATACATCAAACTTTCTACTGCTGACATATATGATACTCTTGATATGTAACTTTCTTCTTCATCTAACTATGAAGATTACTTCTTTGAAAATTTTAAGTGAGTTCCTAAAGGGGTATTTCTGGTCTTGGCATCTCTAACATTAAACCTATTAATTAATTTTTCTTTATATTTCTTCTAAGATAACTTCAAAACACTTTTTGATCTATTTCTGAATACTCTTATACCGAGAATTTATTTAGTTGAACTAAGATCCTCCATCTCAAAGCTTTCTGTCAAATGATGCTTCAACCTGTTAATTTCTCTCATACTAGACCTTGCAATCAACATGTCATCAATATATAAAGTAAGAATAACATAATTATTAACATACTTTTTGACATAGTACTAATGATCTGTATCACATATGTGAAATCTACAGTTGCTTATTAACTTATTCAACTTTTTATACCATTGTCTTAGTGCTTATTTTTCAAGCCATACAAGATTTTGTGAAGCTTACATACAAGATTCTCCTCACCTAGAACTTAAAAGCCTTCTAGTAGTACCATATAAATGTCTTCCTCTAAGTCACAATGTAGGAATGCAATTTTAACATCTAACTACTCCAAGTGAAGATTTTCTGCAGTAACAATACTCAAGATAACTCTAATGGAATCTTGACTACAGGAAAGAAAATTTCTATGAAGTTAATTGCTTGTTTTTGTTGAAACCCTTTTTACTACAAGTCTCGCCTTATATGTTCTGCTGTCATTAGGTTCTTCTTTCAACCTATGGACCACCTATTTTACAAGACTTTCTTTCTTTTTGGTAACATGGTTAATGACCATGTTTCATTCTTTTGAAAGGATGTCATCTCATATTTTATTGCTAGCTCCCACTTAATAGAGTCATTTCCCTATATGACTTTAACAAAATATTCTAGCTCACCAGCATCAATTAATTACAAATAATGCAATAAAGGTGACATACTAGCATGAGCCTTCAAGGGATCTTACTAGGGCTAACCCCCAATTTCAACTTTGAATTTCTTCCCTAACTTTGGAAAGCTAATTTTTTGTTATTTTCTAAAGATACAGTGATCACATACTCAAACATCAATTAGCTTCAAACTTGATAGTTTACCCTTTGATATCATGAGCTTCATTCCTCTATCACTCTTGTGCCCAAGTGTTCAATGCCTGGTGTGTAAAAACTAATCACTGGGCAAGTGTACCCGTTGTCGAAGTAATATTATTAAAATTAAAATTAAAGTACCAAGTGTCGTATCTACAGAGACTGTTATTAAGAAACTTTTCTTTAATTGCATAATTGTTAATAAATATGAGAAATAAACCTTGTTGATGAAATTGCTAAAAGTAAAAGAATAATAAATTAAAAGGAACAGATATTCTAGTGAAAATAAATTATAAAAAATTATGACTAAAGGTATTCAATGTAAAAAGGCAAGTATCTAGACTGTAAATCCCCCTAAGTGTCCAAATAACTGAAATTCTTCTTCAACTACTTAGTTCCAAACCCTTATCGCTGCAGAAAATTCTAATTTAAATCAATACCTTTCTCAAGGATAATGATTCCTAACCCTCAGTTGATTAATCGGAATCTCTTCCTTAATTAATACCCCTAGGTTGCATTAAGTTCATTATGAATTCCATAATTAGGGTTAATCATAATACAAAAAACTCACGTCTTTCTATCTCTAGAAATACATTCAAGTCTTTTTAATTGAGCAATGTTAAATTCATGCAAGAATTTTACTCAAATTCAAACAAGAAAACAAGATAGAAGAAAATTGATACTACTCAATTAAACCCAAGAGAAAGGAACATGAAATAGCATTAGAAGAATTTCAGAAAATTTAGTCAATTAGGATTCATTACGTCTAGATACTCAAAGGAAAGTTAGAACCTAAACATCTTGAAATTAAAATTACAAAAGAGATGAATTAAAACGCTTGATCCTATCCTCCTGCCGTCTCTGAGTCTTTCGTCTCCAAAAATTGCCTCCCTTTTAGGTTTGAGTTCAGTTCTCCTTTTATAGGAATTATCCTAAGATTAATTTTCTCGCAAAAGTTAAATTTCTGATGCGCGTAAAAGTACACGCCCAAGTACATGGCCATGTACTTGGCCGTGTATATCTCTTTTTTCTAATAGATGCCTTTCAAAGCTTTCCATAAAAGTACACGCTCATGTACACGGCCATGTATCTGGCCGTGTACATCTCTGGTCTTGATGATACACTTCAATTGACGCGACCAGTGAGATACACGCTCATATACACGGGCATGTACTTGCCCGTGTATATCTCTGGTTTCTTTTTCTTCAATTCTCGACATCTTTAAGGCTTTCACTTCTTGATCCTTTTTCCTGAAATATGAATAAAATGAAATTAATAATAGTAAATTTTCTCAATGAATAGCTTAAAACTCTCAATTATCATTCATGAATTATAATGTAGGATCAAGTATAGAAAGCATTTATCAATGCCATAAAGTGTAACTGTTGACAACTTGAGTAACTGCTATTAGATCTTCATCTACAATCATGTAAAGAGACCCTCACTTCTTTTCATGAGCTATAACCAAATTTCCTTTCATTACCTTGTAAGCCCCATCTCCAAATGTGGTGTAATGTTCCTCATCATCAAGTTGCCCTATAGATATTAATTTTCTCTTTAAGATAAGAATATGTCTAACATTGTGCAATGTTCACAGGGTCTCATTAGAGGTTCTAATGTCAATATTATATTTTCCCTCAACATCAAGAGATTTTCCATCTACAAGGTAAACCTTCCTAAACTTTCTAGAAACATAGTTAGATATTAGTTTTATAGAAGGAGTAGTGTGAAATGATGAATCTGAGTTCATAACCCATAAGTCAGTAGGACTATCCTGTAATGCCTTTACTTTATTATTCAAATTGTGTAATAATTTAGAATGAAAGAAGGAAAATAAAATGATTTTTTATATATTTATAGCGTGAAAATTTGACAAAAATTAAAACTTTTGCTTTCATTATTCAACTTATGAAAATGCAAAGATATTTGAAACAACATATAATAAACATTTACCATTATATTGTAATTTGCTAAATAAATTTATACTTGAATATTAATAAAATATACATATATTTATTGGATTCCTACTTAAAAACAAAATTTTATATTTATATATCATGATTCCAAAAACATACATTAGGACTTCATTTATATAATTACAAAATCAAATAATCTAGATCCTAATGAGCAGTGTACTCTCACACCAAAAATCTTGAGAGTAGGGTCCTAATCATCATCATCAAACCAACCTTCTATCTCTTGCAGCTCTTCTGGTGTCAGGTCTTCATCATAGAAATCTCTGTCGTCGGCAATGACCTCTATACCAATTATTTGTTCTCCAGTGAAATTGACAGGTCTTCCAAGGAGGTTGTGATCATGGAAGGTATACACATAGTTCATAGCATCAGGTGTCTGCACTGTCCCTCTATATATTACAGGCTAAGGGTGTGATATATTCTGCCACTAGTCAGGTACCTACTTTGATCTCTAAGGTGAAAATATCATTGGACTTGTTTTCACCATTTATTAGAAATTTACTGTGGCAGACATGCTTTCATTCCCTAAATACATACTTTACTCTACTATTTACAATCCACTCAGTTAGCCTAATGGGTTTCTGAGGGGTGGTCATCCTAGTTTCCTGAAAAGATTAGTAAGGATGAGTTATTTCTTCACTACTAAAACATAACAACATGATAGTTTGAATCTTTCATCATGTAATGCAATCTGCCACTCAGTTATATATATATATATATATATATATATATATATATTCACTTTCTCATGTACTGTGGTCAAAGTCAATCGTTGCCTCTAACCTTTCATGAGGTCTTATACATATAGGTAAATGGTTGTTGGTTAGCCCATGCATATGGATACAACGTATACAATATTAAGCCCATTAGCAAAGTATAGTCAAGAGTGTTAATTAGAAAATGAGTGTGAGGCCACATGATGCATTCACTTACAGAAGATTGTGTATACACATCCAAATTTCATTCACCACCCTACATTTCTCCCAAATTTTTACAATTAGCTCCCTCTTCTATATTCCAGTGTATCTTTGTAACCATTCGCACCAACTCCTTTCACCATCTTTTTATTAATAATACATTTTCCTCTACTCATTTCTCATTATTTAGTTAAACAGATCTTGCAGGAGGTCAAACACCTCCAGACTTAGCCCAAATCATGTATTTTTAAATAAATACAATCTAGTCATTCAAAGAACAACCAAACATGCATCATCAAGTCCATTAACTTAAGTAATCAACCAATAATCTCATTCAAACATATGTTTCTAAATAAAGGAGTACATAATCACACACACATAAGCAAAAAGTGTATTCAACATTTTAATGGCAGGATAAAACCCTCCTTGGCTTTGATTCTAACCTTTCTGGCTACTCCTTCCTCTACTGTTAGTATTCAATACTAAATTGGAAGTAGGACTAGAAGGTTCCTCTGATTCTCTCTTGCAAATGTTTGTGTTTAAAATCAAGTCATAGATGTCATCGAGTTTTAACTTGTTATTCCAGGCATAACTATAGTAATAGTTGTAGCCCAACTATTTGAAAGAGATAATAATAGAATCAATGCCTTCACCTCATCATCAAACATGATTTGCACTAACACCAATTGGATAAGAGTTGTATTAAATTTATGAATGTGATCAGTCAAAGAATTATCTTCTTCTATCATAAGGTTGAATAACTGACGCAACAAATATATTTTATTGGCTGCAAATGGCCTCTCATACATATTTATGCTTTTATAAAATCTGCAGTGGTCTTCTCCTTCACAATGTTGAACACAACATTCTTGACTAGTATTTATCTAACCAAACCATTGCTTTGTTGCTTCTAGAATCCAAAGTCTCCACCATCAAACTTCTCAACAGTATCTTATAACACATTACAAAAAATAAATTTAACTCTAATTAAATAACATAATCAACATTACCTTATTTTTGCACTCATGTTTTAAACTTTTCAAAAAATACAATTGAAAACTAACGAACTAAAAAGCTCTTTTTAAATGAAGGGAGCTCAATAGATGGTGATCCCAAAAAGAATTAATGATTTACAATTATATGCCAATAAAGCATGGCCAAAATTATTTTTGATGTCACTCATGATGTGATGTTTTATTTTCATAAGATGTATTTTTTTTAACTATAGATAAATTTAGAAGAGTATTTCAATAATTTATTTCAATAGTTTTTTCATATATGCTATCAAAATAATTTTTTAGCAGTGAAGTATTTTGCTACTCACTTGTTGAAGATTTTGTTATTTTCTTTTTCCTTTTCCTCTTTTAATCTTTTTCAAAATTGTTTTAATGCATTGAATATTTTGTTTCATGATTATTTTTATTTTTATTTGACTTAGTTACAATATTTAGTCGATATAATCTAGACTCTGTAATTTAGGTTTTTGTAAATCCTTTTAGTTAATTAAATAGCATTACTTTAAAAAATAAGCAAATGCAGTCCCTTCATCAATTTATTTACTTAAAACTCTTATATTTTCATTTATTTTAGTTTAAATTTTATCAAATTGAATTGATTATATAAAATTTTAATCAAAATGTAAGAAAATCTAAAAAGATATTTCTTCAAACCCTAATTCTCATCATAAAATCTTTCTAATCTTATCAAACTTTTGCTAATATTTTAGACTTTTAAATATTTAAAATTATTTTATATCACAAATACATAAAAAAAAACTCTAAAAATTGGGTAAAAATATAATAATATCGGAGTTTTAAGTAGAACAAAATTAATGAAGGGATCAAATTTACTTAATTTTAAAAGTAAAAGTGCTTATTACAGAAATTAAAATTTGACATTTCTCAAATAATAGAGGCTAAAAGTGCAATTAATTTTTATTTTATTTTTTAATCATCAAACTTTACTAATTGTTCATTATGGGCTGGCGACATCTGTCTTTGTTCAACGATAGTTGGAACATCTAGTGTCATTATATTGAATTGAAATGAAAAGCAAGCAAAAGGAAGGCATATGTATCATCATGTTTGTTTACATTACCGTACACAATCTCGTGTATAGTTACGAGTGGTGTGAATATAATAAAAATAAAATAAGGAAAAAAGGCACGTAGATGTTCTTGCTCATGTTATAGCAGCACTTTTCATGAAACCGAAAGCGTAGTTTTCATGTTAAATCTTGTTGATGAAGCGATAATATGTATAATTGTATTAACAAATTTAAATACACAAGGCCTAAACATGGGTGGTGCCTGATGAGATAAGCAACTAGAAAAGTAAAAGCCATTTTCTATGAGTGAGCAACATGCTTCCAAAAATACAAAAGCTAGGAGGCAAAACAGCAACCACCCTTCTTTCCACCGGCATCCATCTCCTGGGTAACAATTATTCTGCTTCCCATAAGAAGCCCTGCATTCCCATTGGGATCTGCATCATCATTGGCAGTGAGTGATTTCTTCGCATGAATCCGATATATCTGAGTTAGAATAGTCAAAAAGCACGTTTCAACATTAGTGGACTCAAGTGCTGATGTCTCCATAAAGAATAGGTTCTCTCTTTGTGCAAATTCCTCTGCATCTTCCGTTGGCACTGCTCTAAGGCTTCCCAAATCACACTTGTTGCCAATTAGCATCACCACAATGTTTTTGTCAGCATGACCTCTCAACTCCTCTAACCACCTTACCATGTGGTCAAACGATTGACGCTTAGTCATGTCATAAACTAACATTGCCCCAACAGCACCTCTATAGTATGCACTAGTAACTGCTCTGTACCTGAAAGACAGATCAATACCATTGTTGTTGGACTAATAATCAGCCCCCAAGTACCATTGTGCCAAGACTCAAGCAATATGCTCTTCAATAGTCACAGACTGGAAACGATAAAAGTGCATATGCTAATCACGTCCCAAACAAGTTCATTTCAAAATCAGCGAGTTGTATTGTATTGTATGCACCCCTTCATTAAGATATTAACATCCACTCATTCAATCGTCAGCAACCAACTTTCTCACACAATGTCACGTGAAAAAATACTACCAATTTTGCATGTTTGTGTCATTCCTAAACCAACCCCCACGAACAGTTAAGACTCGTATATTTTGTTTAGAAAGACAGGGAAATGCAAAACGATATATATATATATATATATATAGAATATGTTTGTTTGTATTTTTAAAAAGAATTTTCTCTTTTTAAAATAAAAAAATAAGTGTTTTTTTGAAATTCTGTAAACCGTATGTTCTTGAAATTCTTACGTAGAAAGACAGGAAAGCAATGCAACAAACATCACTAAATTTTAATGGAACAAGTTGATGTGCATATGAAGTCCTAGATAGTAATCCTTACCACGTTATCCTATCCAACAAACATCATTAAATTTTAGTTAAACTATGTCCAAATTTTAATTAACATAAACATTTTTCTGACTATGTAAGGACTATTCCTGTTCATACCCTAGAAAAACAGCCATTTCTGCAGTCTCTTAAATAACGCCTTGATCGAATTAAATCATTATCATCGAAGAAAAAATAAAGGCTATAATTAAATTATCTTGGCAAAAGTTATAAGTACCTTTCTTGGCCAGCGGTGTCCCATATCTGAGCCTTGACGGTCTTGTTATCAATGATGAGAGTTTTAGTCTGAAACTCAACCCCAATGGTTGCCTTAGAATCGACGCTAAATTCGTTTCTAGCAAATCGTGCGAGAAGTTGAGTTTTGCCAACTGCGGAATCACCGATCAACACCACCTTGAACACGTAATCAATCTTCTGATTATAATCCCCGTACAAATTCGAATTCCTCATAATTCCCTAACCGATTCAACATGCATCAAACTTCAATTAACCTCTATATAATTGGATCATTCATCATCCTTTCGTTAATTAATTGATCTCAAAACCAATGCCAATAAGGGAACAAGAAATTAGAAGATCACGGAAATTGGGCGTGATGTGATGAAATCGGAGAAAGAAAATGAAGGGCAAATTCTTCCTCCTTTCTGGATGTATCTGATTTTTCTTGCATTACACGGAATAATTGTTATATATTGAGATCATTAAATGGAATGACCCCCATTATTAATAAGGTACGAAAGAAATTAACACAATTGATATTAAATTTTAAAAAAGATTTTTTTTTATGTGCAACTATAAATTCAAAATTGGAGAAAGAATTTTCTTTTTAATAAAGAAAAGGGAAGGAGGGAAGAGGAGAGTTTACTTTTTACAAAATATTAGAGTGAGGTAAATAATTGAACAAGACGTGCTATTTTTAAAATAACTCTTCTTCTTTCTTATTGTCCTCTCATCGAAGGTTATATTATTATTAATGTAACGCTTGATTAGTTACATTAACAAAAGTAGATTTAGTTAAATTAAGCATCAATAATCAATGATTATATACAAAGGAGCATTAATAATATATTGTATAGTCATCCGAATTATATACATAACAAATATACTAAATTTCTTGCATTTAATCTAAAATAAATTTCTCATATCATATAGGAATAATAATATGGGACTAAATATATATGTACAAGAAAACAGTTTTAATTTAAAAAGCTCCCAAAAGATGTTCCGAAATGTGCCAATGGAGCCAGCAAGGAGCAAGAGATTACTATGAAACATGAATTCAATCTAAAACAATAGATCTTGGTTATGTAGCATCTCAAAAGAACATGCATCATAAACCCAGGTAGATCTAATTCATAAATATCTGTCCAATAGGTCATGTTTTACTTTTATATGATAAATGCAGAGACATCCAAACAATAGAGGTGATTATATTTATAATTTTAATAAAATTAGGGTACACATTCCAAATCGGTACAATATAAACTAACAACAATTACCAATAATAAATAGTAACAGTAACGCACAACAGTAAATAATGAGAAATAAAACAATATCCACACGCTCGTCGTTAATCTCTCAGATTTTTTTTCGTAAAGTTGCAATGCAAGGCATGGGTCCAATGTCATGCCTAAATTCGTTTTCTAAAATGTTTGAAATAAAAAAAATTATTTATTGAAAATTGAGCTATTTTAAAATAGAGTAAAATTATAAAAATGTTTGTAGATGAATGAAAAACTTACTTAACATTAAATTTTGTCAGAGATGAAGTATAGAAAGTATGCAAATAATTTACAAAAAAATAATTCATATAAAAGAAAATTACAATTTAGATGTTACATTATATAGTTTGGTAAACTGTTAGAGAAGTTTTTATAAGAGGAAAAAATTAATATTAAAAATCAATAAAGTTTTTATTATAAATAATTTATACTTTTTTATTTTTTTTTATAAGCTTTCTTATTTAAGTTCTTTAAAATTTGAGAAAATAAGTTTTTTTTTTAATTTATGAGAGAAAATGCATTCACTTTTTATATATGTTTTTCTCTATAAAGACTTGTAAGTTTGTGCAAACTGGAACTATATCATTATGATAAGAGTCATACTCTTATAAAATAAAATCTTCAAGGTAAAGTAGAGCTCTTCACTCTTTCAGTCTCTTGTCGATCGCTTGTTTATCAACTAGAGAAACAGATAGAAACAAGCAGACAAGTAACAACAGAATATAAGAAACAAATAAACATGGAATGAGATGCAAATCCATGTTGAATTTCAGATAACAAGTAACAATTATGTTTAACTAAGAAATTTAAAATACACAAAACATAATAATAAATTTTAAAATAATCATAAATAATAATCGTAGTAGATCTACAATAAATGCAAAATTATGGATCTAATCAGAAAACAATAATAAACCATAACACTCTACCATTGATTTTAATAGTAGTCCACAAAAATTAGGTTAGTATAATTTGATATATCAACACAATGACAATCAGGTAGTTAGCCTAAGTACTAAGTAACACATGGTTTTGCACAACAACAAACCCTAACGTCCAAGGAGTGTACTTATTACTACTTCTCAGTTTCACTTGGGCGCAATCTAATCTCACATATTCACGTGTATACATGCAACAAATATTAGAAAAACTCATCGCTAATTATTATTATCATTTAAGAATAATTTTTAATAAAGCAAGATTAAAAACAACAAAGAATACAATTTCTACTATTATCTTTCACAGTAACACATATTCTGCACATAAACATTTGTAAATGCATTATTTTAAATCTTTCAAAAATATAATTTTAATATCTTAAGGATATTTTTATCATTAAATAAATATTGAAAGTTATTTTAATCCTTCAAAAAGTAATTAATTTTTAATATTATTTTAAATTATGATTTAACATTTATCAATCATAATTTTTCTATAATTGTGAAAGCTTATAAGAAAGTTTAAACCACTGTTACAAAACTATAAATGCATTTATTTAACTTAAAACGTAAAAATAATTACAAAATAAAAAGCATGATCATATAAAACCTAATCCTTTAGAACTTCCAATTTCAAGCTCAAATCTATATCAATTTTAGGGATTAAGAGTTTATATATTCACGAAAATTTAAAAATTATAACAAATTTCAATTAAAAAAAAAACTTTTCTCCACTTCTATTTTTTTTAATTTTTTGGTGTTTTCTTGAAATTTTTTTTTTTCCTTTCTTAAATCTTTTATCTCTCTTGTTGGTAAGTATTAATTATGATTACTTTTACTCAAATTTTTGCTTATTTTGGTGTAAGTATAATAAGACTTTATGTTGAATAAAACTAAAATATTCGTCCAAGTCCCACATAAAAAATTTTAAAGAAGTGAGAGTTAGAAAAATATTAAAAATATGAGATTTTATTTTTAATTTACTTATAAAACATGTAGTCCTTTGAGCGCATTAGAACTTTAGTGGTTGTATGCAAGACAAATCTTTGCAATTTTGGCCTTCTAAAATTATAAATGAGATGATTTGTAATTTTATCGAATAAAAACTTAATAAATTTGTATCGAGAGTTTGTGGACATATAAAAGAGGTGTTGTCGTTGCTAAAGTTGCGTGTTCTTTTCTTCTCTTTTTATGTGAGTGATTTTACTAATAAAGAATGCAAAATGTTCCACTCTCTCTCTCTCTCTCTTCTCTTTTTTCTAACAGTCGTATTAGAGTTGATGATTTGTTTATGTAATCATATTATAGGAAGGTTCTAGCCAAAGATGTGAACAAACAAAAGAGAAGTAATTGAAGAAAAGCTATTCCTTTTATAAGTTAAAGAAAAATTATACTAGTTGATGAATTTAATAATAATTGAGAATTGCGAAAGAATTTAGAAGACTAAAGGGAGAGTTATTGCTAAAGTGAAGGAATGTGAGACTTTGGATCACTGGTATAAAAATGACCTTCTATATTAGTTAAAAACAACATTTTACATTGATTGTCCAACTAATGTACAATCGATGTAGTTAGTCATTATATTATATATATATATATATATATATATATATTATATATTTTAAAACTGATGTAGAATTCTACATAAATTCTAAATGCAATCAATGTATAATCTTTATTTTTTTAATATATTTTTCATTTTATATTATATCTTAGACCTAACTAATAAATAAATTCAAAAATAATTCTATAACATTTAATTATAAGAAAAAATATTATGTACAAATGAATAATTTTATATAATGTAAATTCAATAGTTTATAATATCTACAAAATTTTTTAAGAATTTCTAATGTCTAAAACAAAATTGGCATAGTGCCTTCGAATGAGGCCACAAATTACAAAAAAAAATAAACTTTCTATACTATAAAGTTTTAAGTATGTAAATGTGTGTGTATATATACTTACTAAAGCCCATAAATATGTAATGGTTGTTATGATGACTATATCATCATATGCCTCATCACATAATATTCATACTCTCAACTCATTTTTTATTTGTGTGACTAAAAGAAAAATAACAGGTATTTAATATTAGACTATAATAAGTAATTGATTTAAAATTTAAAAAAAATTAAATATTGAACAAAAAGGGAAATTAAATGTAAAGTGACAGATCTATGTAGACTTTTTTTTTTTCATAACATGCTGACCCTCTAATACATTGCATACTTCTATACATCTATTCATGATAAAGTTACCATAAAAGTTAATTAGGTGATCATGTGATATATATAATATGTAAAATAATTTATAACAAGTATACTTATATACAATTTGATATTATGAATACATATTAAATTTAAAATAACAAAGATGTAAGGAATTATTGAAAGAAAGTATACCTGATCAGTAAGAAAATGAATAAGTTGTCTAGGTCATAATATAAAATGATTGGGAGCTTTCTCACTGTGTGAACCTCCTCATTTGAAATAGAGACAAGAGTATTAACATCTTCAACCTGTTCAACCACAACTCTCACTGAACTACTATTTATTTTTTGATGGTGTATGGTTGGACCTAAGTTGTGCACTGTGCTATATGCCATTAGCTATAAAGGACACTTTACAAATAACACACTAATGATCAACATCATCCTTAGAAAGATCGATACAACTCTTTTGGTACTGACACACTTTTTACGATAAGAAACTTCAAGAACACAAGTTTGAAAATTTGTGTTCCTTTAAGATAGACCCAACAAGCCAAGTTTTTGCCTAATTTTAGTTCTTAACTCCTATCTCATCTCTTCTCTAATTGCGTCCAATTCAGCATGTGTAACCACTCTTTTCTGTTTTAGTGTACTTGATTCAAAGTACTATTGAATACCTACACTCCATCTAAAAGTATGAACACGACTAGAGTATTTAGGTCGACCAATAACAATAGACAAAATGTCATTATGTCTAATAGGTGTAAAGGCTCTCAGTGAACTCTTCTTTATTAAAGA